GTGTGCTAAAGTTCTTCTTGATCTTTGGAAGGCCTTTCAAGACACATTTAATATAAATAATCTTTTCACGTACAATAGGACTAGGCCAAAACTGGCCCAGGATGCTCTCGTCCCATGGTAACTAATGTTCTAACAAAATACATAACAGTGGTGCCATAGGCTACACAAATGTATCCACAACACCATAAACCCATTTTAAAGTTTTTCATTAACTTATTAGTCACTTCACCACCAGTTGAAAAGGCTGTATCCCCGCCCTCATCAAGTGAACACTAACTCCACCCCTTCAGGATAGGTAAATATATTAGGATTCCTTAAGTTTTAAATCCCTATAGAATTATATAAGTATCATTCTTTATGAAAATCCATAAGAACTAATATCTATGCTTGAGATTTTCTTTCAGTAATCATAAGACGGCTGCTGCTGAACATCGGTTGATAGTTAACTCCGCTTGCTGGAACTGTTTCCTGAAACTGCACTGCTTGAAGTTACCAGGAACCTGCTTTCATCAATCAAACAATTGTTGAACTGTATCGATGATTAATAGACTTGCCCTTAATCAAACCCTAAATGGTTTCTATTGTTAAAACATTATGAATTGATCATTAGTACACGTAGCCCCTCTCCCATTTACTTGCATGTATCCCATTTTCAATAAAAAGGCACGGTGATCCCTAGCAGTTGTCACTCCTCAGAGAGCGATCTCTGGGAGTGTCTGGCTGAGGACGTGCATGAAAAAGCACGAGGCCTTGGTCTTCCTTTCCTTTCCAGCGTTGCCTCCGTCGAGCCAACCCACTCCTGCCGAGGCTGGTCCCCGGCAGCAGAAAACACTTAACCCACTGGCAAACAGATTGTATAGGACCCCTCTTCCCACCTCTGAGGGGGTCTGCTTTGCTCTTACCTGGGTTGATACTACCACTGCACTGTTACAGTGTTCCCTAGTCAGCAACTCAAGGACCCATAATCAGAAAGTTGTTACAACCCTTTGTCGTCTAGGGCACCTCAGCAATCATTGACAGTGACCAAGGGATCCATTTAACTGAACATCGGATGCAACAATAGACCAAGTAAATGCAGATTGACTGGTGATTCGCCTGCCTTGAAACCAACTCGTGCTGCTCTGACAGATACACAGTGATTGAATGTATTAAACAGTTTTAAGTTAAAAAATGGCATGCTGAAGGACACCCTGAGAACTGACTGATACTCACTACAGGGGTGAAGGACCCACTTACATAAGCACTCATGTCCTCAGTGAACGGGGCTGTGCTCATTGGCAGGCACTCTGCCACCCCTCAACACACTGACACAGCCCTGGGCAACACCTTTAAGGATGCAGATCTGAAGGCAGGAATCTTCACTGGGACCAAACTGGGGAAATGAGAATAACCTGTTGCTGCCTGCCCCACCAGACGTAGTTCCCAGGGGAAATGCTCTCCATTGGCCTTGGGAAGTTCAGTCTGAAGCCTCTGCTTACTCTCTAGAGGGAAGGTATACACCATAACTTAGACATTCATCCCATGGTTATGAGAAATGCACAAATACTATTAAGTGTCATACCCCTGGGTCTCAATGCTAAAAAGAAATTATTATCATTTCTATGTAGCAGTTCAGAACACTTCTACTAAGCTTTCCTATAATGGAAAAGATGGCTCCAGGGCCCGATCAGGCCTGGTACTACTCCAGGGCAGTAAGGCCCCCACAAAGTGTCACACTGTTATCACAGGACAGAAATATTGCTGTGCTTTACCTGATAATCGTGTCTTGCCTTTGTTCGTTCCTCTTCAGCATCTGTCTGATCACCCCTCACCTCTGCTCCAGGCACACAGTCCTCCAGTGAGACACACCCCTCTCCAGTGCTCACAGCAAATCAGCATGCTGGCTGCTTCTCAGTCCCCAGAGTCCACAGCCTCCAGATGCCATGAAGAATGAGGTCAGCTAACATCTCTGAGTGGAGACACTTTCGAGCATGGCTATACCTGGGACACCAAAGGAGAACTGTTGAGCTGTAAGGAGCCCAAGAAATAGGTCTGCCCTGGTAAGTGGGTAAGCAAGGAACACATGCCCTGTCCAGACTATTCAGCTGGTGGGTGGCTCACTGTTGTCCAAGTAAAAGTTAGGGACCGTGCCCCTCTGTGCACTGGACTCTGTAATGGCACTCGATATAAGCCCGTCCAGATGTGGGATGGACACCATAGACATGTGCTCCTATACTGTCATCCTCACTGAGGGTCACCACTGGGGGTGGCAAAACCCAAATGTAACATGGCAACCCCCAGCTCCCCGAGAACCCCATGGGCATGCAGTACCTACGGATGGCCTTATTTCCCAAATATTTGGGCGGACAGATATACAGAACCCCGGACAACAGCTCTGTACAGGCGAAGGTGCTGGATGAACGCCCGCCTGGGGGCTCCTGGGCAGGGAGCGAAGCACCAACTGACACCCGAGAAGGGATAGGACAGAGGGGGCGGGGGCGAGGAGGGGCTCTCGGCAGCGGTTAACGGACCCAGCCTACCCGCCGCCCCCTTCTGGGCGGTTGATCCATTTCGCGCTTCCCCTCCCAGCCGCTTGTTGCCAGAAGCCTCGGAAATCTATTCCCAAATCAAGAGCCGTTTCCATGGCATCCAGTCTTGACGTAGAAGACCAGACACAAACAAGCGTGTGGGGGTGGGGAAACACAGAGCATGTCTGCTTTGTATCCCAATTCCAGTAACAGGAGCTGGGATTTTTAGGGCTAGGCATGGGCTGAGAACCAAATGCATTTGGATGGTCTGAACTCAAGTCTCTTGAACTTTAGTTTTCAGATCTGTAAGGGGGGTATAAAAACACTGGCATCAACGAGTTGTTTGGTTATGTGGACTCAGTGCAAATTGTTCTCCAGAGCTGAGACACAGTCACTCCTCCAGTGAACAGCCTTTTAGGCTGTCAGACCACAAACCTCACCCTCACTGTGCCTTAGGCTGTTCTAGCTGCTAGAGAGGACAGAAGCCACAGAATCTGCCCTCTAGCGATTTAAATAAATTCTAGAGGAGATAAGAAATTGGTAGAGGGGACCAGCAGGTGGCCTGGTGGTTAAGGCACTGGACACTCCCACATGGCTAATCACAGTTTGAGTCCTGGACCTGGTGGCTTGCTTGCGCTCTCGTTCTCTCTCTCTCTCTCTCTCGTCAAATTAAAAAAAAAGAATGAATAACTAAAATTGAAAAAAAGACCTGTCTAAAAAAAAAAAGAAATTGGTAGATAAATAAATAGGAAAGATCATTTTGGATACTGGCAGGTGCTTTGTAGAAAATAAAATTGGGGTGGTCGGCCCTGTAACCTAAGGGTTAAGGGCCAGGATCCCATGTGGCCCACCATCGCTTGAATCCTGTTGCTTAAAAAAAAACATACACACAAAATGCATAAGCGTGTGTGCCCCCAAATACTAACGGGATTCAGAAATGGAGAGGAAGGGATTGTGGTGTGACCACACTCCATTGCAGAGTGCTTTCTTCCTCTTCCTCACTCTTTCTGTTTGTCTGTCTCTTTCTGGTGAACATTCCCGCCCTCTGGCAAGTAATAAATAAGTAAATACATACATGCATACATACATACATAAAATTACGAAGTGACCCCCTAGTGCAGTGGTTGGGTGCGGTGCATTGGGAGCCAGATTGCCACTCAGGGGACACTTTGCACACATGCACATTGAGTGTCCCAAATCCTGACAGCATGGTTTAGTGGAGGAAGGAAGACTGCAGCAACACCATGCTCCATTGGGGAGTGCTTGCTCACTCGCTCTCACGCTCGCTCTCTCTCGTGCAAGTGCCCTCTAGAAATTAAAGAAATGAAGAAAGAAAGAAAAGAAAATTGAGGGGAGGGAGAGTCAGGTGGCACAAAAGTTAGCACAACACTCTGATGCTAGATCCACATGAAAAGCCTCCAGTTTTGCATCCTGTGGTCTCCCGGGTTCAAGCATACTGTGTGTCTGTGCCTATGATCCAGACAGCTGGGACTGGGAATGGATCACTCTGTGGGACCCTATTGGGGGTCCACTCCTCTCTTACTCTCTCCCTCACAGAAGAAATTAATAAACTGTTTTTTAAAAAACTGTCAAAGGTCGGCAGGTGGTGTGGTGGGGATAAGGTGCTGGATTCCCACATGTCTGACCACATTTTGAGTCCCAGACCCAGCAGGTTGAAAATTAAACTGGTATGTGAGCATGTGTGCCCAAAATCCCAAGAGGAAAATGGAGGAGAAGGGATTGCAGCGTGGTCATCCCCCCATGTGGGTGACTTCTCACTTTCTGTCATTCTGTTTCTCCTGCAAGGAGGGATGGCCACACTGCAAACCCTCCTCCTCCATCCTCCTTTTGGGATTTTTGGGCATGCACGCACATATGCCTAGTGTGTATTTCAAATTGCTGGGTCTGAGACTTGAACCACAAAAATGAGCCATATGGGATCCAGCCACCTAACCTCTATACCACCTGCTGACTGCCCCCCCCAGCAAAACTTAAAAAAAAAAAAATTTGTCAGTCACCTTTGTTGATCCAGAGTGTATCAATATCTGATCAAATTCCTCATCCCTCATCATCCCTCAGGTGATGTTTGATCACCCTAGCCTGACTTCAGCAAGAATTCAGTTAGGTCAGTTTAGCAAAGAATTATCCTACCCTCTTCATAATTTTCTACCCAGTGAAAACTTCTATCTCACGCCCCACTCTGTCCCTTGGCTATAAATCCCCAACCATTCCTTGTTATGTTTAGAGCTGAGCTACTGCAAAATCCCATTACACTAGTCTCTATACCTATTGTGACAGTCATGAGTAAATTCTGCCTTACTGTTTTAGTGTCACGGATCATTATTTCAACAATATATACACACTCACACACAGAGTTTTTGACTGTCTTATAAAAATAGGACCAAACACAAAAGCTCTAACTTTCCATGGCCAGCAGGTAGTGTGGTGGTTAAAGTGCTGGACTCCCACATTGCTGACCACAGTTCAAGTACAGGACCCGACAACCTGAAGATCACACAGGGGTGCATGCATGTCCAAACTCCCAAAAGGAGAACGGAGGAGAAGGGATCGTGGCATGGCCATACCCCCTGAGGGATGAGTTCACACTTTCCCTCTCTCTGTCTCTCTCCAACAAGTACATGCACCCTATGACAAAACCCTAAAACGACAAAAAAAGTTCTAACTTCCCCTCCCCCTCAACCTCGCCAACCCTCTCAGTCTATTCCTGCCACGTAACTGCCTCTTGCCAGGTATGCTTTCAACCTAAGACTTCTTTCTACTGGCTCTTTTCTCAGCCTGTGATGATCTCTGCCCCATAGCACATGGCTAACTTCCCGATCTTCTTCAAGCTTGATGCAATCTTTTTTTTTTAAGTTTTACTTCTATTTTCTTCCATGAGCAAGAGAGGAAGAGATAGAGACAGACAGAAACAAAGAGGCAGCATCCCCAACAGAGCCTTTATGCCATGATCCCGCCTGCCCTAGCGCCACCACCCTACTAGTCATGGTCATGTGTATGCCTAGCACATCAAGGGAGGTCTCTGAACTTGAACTCAGAACTTTCTCATGTATGATTGCCTCACTGTGCCACCATCTGGCCCCCACTGACTTAAATCTTGGATTCTAGATCAGGCCTACCCTCTCTAATTTTGCAATATATGCCACCCTCATGCTCCTGACCTCCTCTACTCTGCCCTAATCATGTCAGTTTTCCAGTTCTTTTACACATAAATCACTGATTCATCCAACATGTCTACAGGAGTCTCTGGCACACGTTAGCACTCAATAACACATAAATAATTTACATCATGGAAATCAACAGCAACTTCCTATTAAATCTTGATTCTATATACACAATTATCTCCACTCCTGAAAGCCCACCAAAACATCCATGAAGTAGAATGAATACAGTTCCAGAATACTGAGAATTAGAGAAAATGCAACAAATAAGTAATATCAACCACAATTTGGAAAATTAGAGCATGCGTGGAAAAACCATGTTGTATGCTATAAGAATGATTAAATTAAAAATTCAGAGTCACCTATAAACTTGTCACCCGGATAGATCTAAAAAAGAAAAAGAAAGGAAGAAACCAGATGAATTCAAGTTGTGCTTTTACAGAGCAGGCAAAGCTAAATCCAAGCTTGCACAGTATCAGAAGAAGCTTATTTCCACTGCAGAACCCAGGAAAGAGTCAAGAAGCAGAAGTCCTGGGCCTCTGAAACAGGTATGTAGTGACAGTTTCACAGGTATGCACATGTGTCAAAACATGAAATTTTGGGAACCAGCAGTTAGCGTAATGGCTATGTCGCTGGATTCCCACGTAGTCGACCGCGGTTCGCGTCCCGGACCCGGTGGCTTAAAACTCACGCCGGGCACGTGTGCGTGCGTGCCCACGATCCCGAGAGGAGAATGGAGGAGAAGGGATTGCGGTGTGACCGTCCCCCCTGGGGGGTGATTTCTCGCTTTCTATCTCTATGTCTCTCTCTGTCTGGCGAGCGCACACGCCCTATAGCGAAAACCTCTCAAAAAAAAAACAAAAACAAAAAAAAAAAACATGAAATTTTATTCCTTAGATGTGTATGGTTTAATGTCTGTCAGACTGGCCTATAGCCCAGTGCTTAAGTGCTGTGCACTGGAAGCCAGATCTCAAAAGCCTGACCACAGTTCTAGTCCCAGCCCCAGCTGCTTGAAAAACATGTCAGGTATGTGAGTGTGTGTGTGCGTGCATGTGCACAAGCGTGCGTGCCCCAAATCCCGATGAAATAAATGAAGGAAAAAGGATTATGGCATGATCATGCCCCATTGGGGAGGGTGTCGTCTCTGTCTCTGGTGAGCACACACACACCCTTTGGCAAATAAGAAAAAAGATAATTATCATATGTCAATTAGATTTTTTTTTTTGAGAGGTTTTCGCTATAGGGCGCGTGCGCTCGCCAGACAGACAGAGAGAGACAGAGAGACAGAAAGCGAGAAATCACCCCCCAGGGGGCATGGCCACGCCGCAATCCCTTCTCCTCCATTCTCCTCT